GGCACATCTGAGCTTTCTAAGCAATCAAGAAGCTCTCTGAGATGGTCATTTCAAGTGGGGAAATGCTAATCCCTGTCAGTTTTCCATTTCATCCACTACTGATCTGGATCTGAAACTGGGGCTCCGTGGGGACTCCAGGTCCCTCACTCTGGGTGACCCCCAAGGAAATGTTTTTGGTGTGGCAGCACCCACTTGGAGATGAAAGCACATCTGAGGGGGATAACAAAATACAAACCAGGGTGGAATGGAATCATTAACATCCTCCTGTGCTTCCTGCTCCCTCCTACAATCCCCCCCTGGCTCTACAGCTAAATTTTCTCATTTACTGATGCAGTTCAGGAATGAGGCATGCAAACTGATTATGAGCTACTGCTCTTAATTTCCTTTACAGTCCAGGGGGAAATTCTTATTCTCCTTCATTCTCTGCAACTCCTGACTTTTTGGGGTCGTGTAGGGAGCATACAAACACAAAAATGATCACTTTGGGAGGTGACACACCTAAAGCCACAGCTGCTCTGGCACAGAACAAGTCCCCAGTGGCTCTCAGGGACACAAGGGAGGCTCGACAAAGTTTCCAGGAGGTCTTGGCCGTGCATCTTGTGCCCAGGATAGACTTAGGAAATAAATTAATTGAAAATTGCCTAGTGCACATGTCTTAGAGGGGAAGGTTCCACACCTGTATTGAGGTGTGGGACCCAGAGGGTCAGAGGCACCAGGCTGTGACTTCAGGGAGGTCAGAACAGAAGCTGCTTTCTCACTTTCTCACTTTTCTCAATTGCTGGTTCATTAGTGAGGAACTAAAAACAGCATCACTGTGATCATGAGTGGTTTCCACTCTCTGCTGACATCTTTTGGGACTGGTTCATGTTCTCCAGCCTCCTGTTTGGGGTGGAAATTTGTTCCCCACTCATCCTCAAACATCCCCAGCTGCTGAGAGCTACAGCCAGCAATATCAGCTGTGCTTGTTTTCTGTCTTCCAGACACTTCTGGAAGCCAATAAACCACTGCTCCTGTGCTCAGGGTTGTCTGTGCACACCTATGGGCAGGTGCAGTCTCTGCAGCATTGACAGAACAAATGGATATGGAAAAGTCGTTCCTGAAATCCACAGCAGGAGCAGGAGGGGAAAGAGCCTCCTGAATCCCACAGCTTTGGAATGCTGTGCCTCCTAAATAATGAACTGCTTTTCTAAAGGTGCCACTGAGCACTGGCTGAGGGCAGCAGCAGACCCCAGCACAGACCAGTGTGGCTGAAATCCAACTGAAGCAGCCAAGGCTCCAAAGGCAGGCTCCAATGCCAGTGACAATTTCATGTTACACATTAAATTTCTGGTGACAGCGACTCCTCGGAGCCCTGGCAAATTGGAAACTGCAGGATGCAGCAGCAGCACAATGATAACAGTTAATCTTCTGCAGGGGCATGATGGTAAAAGAAATGGCTTTTAGATTAGCTGTCATTAGAGTGAAACATCTGCCCCTGCAAGCCAAGGGGACTGTCCTCACTTGGGCACAAGGAAGCTCATTAAATTCCTGGCTTTGCATGGCTCTCATCCAGAGGCACACTTCCACCACGCTCTGAAGCTGGGAAGCACAGTGACTTGGGCTGAAAGGCGGGAAGATGAATTCCCTGGAGATGTGTCAGCTTCCAAAGCAGCTGCAGAAGTTGGTTCGTGTGTTTAGATTGCCTTAGTACCTGGGAGCACACAGAGAAGTGAAATAGGAAAAACTAATGGGAGTGATGGAGTTTAAAAGGAAATTAAACCTTCTGAGATCACAAAAGCTCAAAGTTTAGCTCTGCTTGAACTCTGAGGAAAAGCTTCCAGTGGAATATTTAATTCCAAACACTTTGCCATCATTTCTAAGCTGTTCTTTGCTTGCTGGACTGCAGAGCATGAGGTCAGGAAACTTCCCTTGTCTAACTCTATTTGTGATGCAAATAGTGCAAATATTCTCACATCTGATTTTCCTTTCACACACTTACAAGGAATGTTGAATACTTCAGAGGGGCAAGCCTGGCAGGGCACTGTTAGTGCAGGAACATTCTCAACCATGATCCCACAGTTTTCTTTCACTGGTTCATTACCTGGTGATGATGTGCAACAAGGTTATTAAGGTTGCAGAATACTTTAAAGGAACAAAATTTATGGAGAGAAAAGAAATAGTTAGTAGTGTCTGTATAGAGCTCAGAGCTGAATAAACTACAGATATTTAAGCTGTAATTAATTAATGACTGCAGCTTCAAGCTGGATTACAAACAAGTATTCAGTTTCATCTTTATTAGGCTACATTTTCTTCTTGATTACATTAATCTTGATGAATATAAATATATTTGAATTCTTCACAGTTGTGTGACATTTACAGCAGAATTCCATGAGGGTATGTCCTACAGCACATTGTACAAGGAGCAATAAAGTTCCTTTATGAAATATTCAGCCTTGGGCTGCTTGCACAGAGTGAGGGAAAGGTCTCAAAGGAGTGGGAAGGAGCTCCACAATCCCCACGAACTGCAGCTTAACATTAAAGAAAGGCACAAAAATGATCACTGCAGGCTTTTCTGACAGATTCTTCAAGCCAGAAGTAGAATCAGTTTTTTATTGTTGGTAGTGGTTTTGGG